ACTCTGCCTCTAGGCCTTATAGGAGCTATAGATATGTAAACTTTTAGATGAGTTTCGTAGTTCTTAGTTCTAAATATTCTTTTTTTGTAATACTTTACGGCCTGACAAAGTCTTCTCGTTCCGAGCAAAGAGGTCTACACGCCATCCGAACTTACCATAGACAATTTTTTGTGTGAACCGACCAAGTACCGTAACGGCGGATCGCCCTCTATTGCGCAACGGAACGCAGTGGAGTTCAACGAACGCGAAATTCGGCATCTCCCGTTATACACGTGACTCGGGTTGGTTTTACTTTTAAATTCGCAATTTAGTACCGCTATCGGCTAATAGATGGTGCTGTCACGTTTTTGTGGATGCGTGCGCGGACTCTTAACTTGTAATTTCACGTTTCAATTCGAGTGCCGTTCTCATAGTAACGTTTACTTGACTTTTAAAATAACAGTAGCTTGCATAACGAAGAATTTCTTATTGTAGCTTCGGTGATTATTGTATTGATATAATTTCAAGCATGGTTTTAACGTTTCATTTGTTATAAATTATAATAGTAATAATCTATAAATTTTAAAGCAAGTGACGCCATTAAACCATATTAATTGTCACTCGTAAAATCAAATGAGATTTTATATAAACTAATTTAATTAATCGATTGTACATTTGCAAGGGCCGAGATATATATGCTCTATACTAATATATAAAGCTGAAGTTTTTGTTTGTTTGTTTGAACGCGCTAATCTCAGGTACTACTGGTTCGAATTGAAAAATTATTTGTGTATACATAGTGTGTGATATGTTGATCAGCGGTAAATTGGGGATCAAGTCTCACCTAGGTTATAAGATATTTAAAAATGATAAAAAATTTCTAAATTAAGATAAAAACACATGTAAATAATAAGAGTAGTTAAAATATTGGTTTTACTAACTGATTTTTTTAAAATCTTAATTTAAATAATTTATTTTACTTAAGTTATGTCGCCCCATAGGACAGTCCGTCTAAGTCTACAAAAATTAACAAACGTGGATATTTTAAAACTATGATTACACTAAAACTATCTAAATATTATATATTATATGTTATATGTTTAGTAACTCTGTCTGTTTGTCTGTCTGTCTGTTCCACTCAAACAAGGTCGCGGGCACAGCTAGTTTAAAATAAATCTTTCGGGTACATACCTACATACATACATAGTCAACTGGTTTTATCACTGAAACGTGATTAATTTAATGACTACCACTCGCAAAACTATAGAAGAGTGTTTTCATATAATTCGTGAATATGAGACAGTGGCTCTTTAGAGCTGCGTAGGTATAGCTAGTAAAAGCGACGAATGACCTTGTGGAACGCCGCATAGCGTATTCTATGCACAGCCAGCTGTATCTAGGTTTTAACTGTCTGCCAGACATCGGCATGCTCGGTACAGTGCGAAAAGGTCTGTCAAGTGACCTAGTCTTAAAGCTCTAGTGACATTGAAACTAACTGAATTATGTTCTAAATTTGAAATCTATTTCACTACTGTCAGTAGTTTACGCGAGTAGTACACATTTAAAGAACACTTTAACGGTTTAAAACGCGATGTATGTTAGTTAAACTTATCTGACAATTATTTTAACTACGGCCAGATGTTTCGGATGCTTTGCAGCAGCAGACTCTCCGTGACCACGGATGTTTTAATTAATATTTTTTAATTAATAGATATTTTTCAAATAAGTTTAACTGAATATATATTATTCATGCTTTAAACTGGTAAAGTGGTTTAAATTTAATCTACCATTATACCTAAAGATAAATTTCAACGCCAGTATTCAATTTAAGCCCGAGAAGATCTAGAGTCGAATCCTGGTTAATAAACAATTTTTAAAACTTCCGAATTTTGAATCTGTAAAGAGAATAGAAGTTATTAACATTTGTTTCGTTGTAAACAAAAACGATCAGTGAATGAGAAAGGGTGTTTGACAATTTTATATTTAGTGTGAAACCCCGTTTCCCCCATGCGGGACATAGGGCGGCCACATATCGCTGTCTATTGCGCTGAGTGAGTCCACCAAGCAAGTAATTGATTGATTTCTGTGAAGTGTCAGACCATTGCTTTTAAATTTTCCCGGTGCTCGAACCCAGGACCTCGTAATGTACAGCTTTGTAAAGCGCTCGATTGAGTTATGTAGTCGGTGTTATTTTAAGAAATGACCATATCAAAGATAAGCGATAAGATGTTCATACGTACATGATATGTTAGGTATGTCTGTATTAATTTATGGGCTGTGTATACCGTTGCATAGTAACACAATTTCATTACAAGTCTGCTTTGTTCACTCCCTCGCGACACCATGGCAGAGCCTTCCGATTCCATATAATTTGATCCCCTCTGAGATAGGGCTGCCACTCGCTAGAAAAATATCCTTTTCATTTGTCGATTGGTATAATGAAAATTATTTACGAGACAAAAATTAACGAAAAACAAAATAAAAAATTTGACGTTATCATTTTTGAACCTCCATGCCATATCCTAGACCAACGATTTACGAGTTACGTAGGTGATCATAACACCAAATTCTTAGAAAATAAAAATAATAATTTTCAATCCAGGCTTCGAATTCCGACCTCTTATTCTTCTGTTTGCGTATGATAACCAAGAAGAACAACAAGGCAGTCCAAGTTCACAAGAGTATTTTTTACCATAACACAAAACTACATTTTCGTGTTACAACCCTACTGCTATTTGCAGCTGAAATTCGATCCCCTCTAAGGGTGATCTGCAACCCCCCACTCTTTCCCTTTTAACAGATAATGCCCACTTTCATCGCAATTTATGTTGTATCTGTGGCAATCTCAAAAACTAATTGCATATATTTGACGTGGATAGAATGACGACGACGACATGACGATATTATTTCAATAAAAATACACAGTCCTCACTGTCTGTAGTCTATACGAGTAGTACACATTTAAATAAAACACTTTAACGGTTTAAAACGCGACATATTAAACGTCAGAGACACCCTCCATCTTAAGTCTCCCAGTGACCACGACGGCTGCAAAGCATCCTAAACGTCGGGCCGCGGTTAAAATAATATTCAAATAAGTAATATATATCGCGTTTTAAACCGTTAAAGTGGTTATAATATTGGTATAAGCTGGTCAAATAATTATCAAAATTAGAGATAAGTACTTGAAGATATACTATCTATGGAAGATTCGAACGCATGAATTAAAAAAAGAAACAACACTATTGAAGGATTTTACAGACAGACATACAAATTATTGATAATATCTATTCTGATGTATGTAGTAATCAATAAAAAAGCTATTTTAATCTATATCCACCGCGTACCTGCTATTTATAATTATATTTAAAACAATGAAAGGTAGAATACGATAACTTAAACTACAGACAATGTTTACATCATACCTTCCCTGTCCGGAATTTAGGGAGTTAGATCATAGTTACGTAATGAAAGGGCCGGACGGTCAGCAAAACAGATGGCATTACATTCAGTAGATGTCAGTTCTCATATAGTTCTAAGGGAAATAAAACAATTTAAACCGTTTAACGCACGAAATACGTGATCACCTGAGGTCGGATTTGCTGTTAATTCACAGCATCGGATAAGTTAGGTTATATTTTAAGAATTAAGTTAGATAATCGTGTTTAAAGCAGTTTTAATGTTTTTAATTTATTTTAATAAGGCTTACCGACTAGTTACATAAACATATATAATATATATACTTAGTGAATTACAGTAGGAGTAATTCTTATGTACCTTATAACTTATAACTATTCACAGCATTGACTATAGATACGTGTATATAATTTAATCATGTATAATCCACATACCAATGTTAAAAGTGAAGTTTTATGTAAAAGCTTTTTAGAATAGGCGGCAAGTCTTCTTTTAGATAGAGGATCTTGAATTGATAAACAAAACATAAGTTCGAAGTTGATACGACAGATATCTATACATTATTAAAAATAGATTGAAAGTTCTTTAAATAACCTGATTCACTATGAGTGAATTCCTTAGAAAGCGACAAACTTGGAGATCGAAACGTAACCTCATTAGCAGGAATTAATTGAAAAATATTTTTCCTAGAAGTAGATCAAGGCCACCTTTTTTGTGCTCAGTACTTAGATAATACTAGGACCCTACATAAATTTGATTATATGCTTTTTCGTCATTGCCGAACGATCGAAGCCGCTTGAAAGAGATGCAAAAGTAGGGAGTGACAGAGACGCGAGATGTGACGTCGCGCATGCGTAGGCACGTGTCCGCGAATGAAAACAGGGCGCAACCGAGGTTGGTTTGTCGCGATGCATCTGCGGATAAGCTTTCATAGTAAGCTCTCACGATAAAAATAATTAAGCCGCAATGCAAAATATGAAAAGAAAAGGATTTATAGTGTATTGACAATGTTTAAATTAAATTGTGCGTGATAAAAGGAAAGTTGACGTTTTTGACGTTAAGTCAAACTTAATTTATCTTAAGTAAAATATCCATCAAGCCAAGATTGCTTGACAGTCGCATATATTGAATTGGGTTATTAAAGTATTTTGGTATGTCAATACGGTTACTATAGACTACTATGTAGGCAGTAGTAGTAGCGTGCTACGCTCGTAGCAGCAGATATCGCGAGATCGATACACGGAAGCGAGCTACGTGTGCGGCGGGCTGCGCGTCGTAGCACTACGCTTCGTAGGCCTCACAGTGGCTAAGAGCGAGCGGCCGCTGCGTCCGCGGTCTCGTTCCGAAATATAGGACACTGTGTCAATGTGTCCCTACAACAAAACAAACGCGCCCCGAGCGCAATAATGACACACAGTGCCTGACGAAACAAACACTGCCAATCGACCAAGCCACGCACAAAGCCTCCAGGAAAATTAGGAGGCCGTTGACCCCTGACCCACTTCCGTTGCAACTGCGCGTACTGCAGCGACCAAAATAGGGACGGTGATACCTTGTGTTCATTAGTTTATCTGTGTAATTTAGTATCTAGAAGACTGAATGCGATGGCGGGGAACAATAACCTGGAGGGACACCTGACGCAAGTCATCCAGCACCACGTGACGCAGCCGAGCGCGGAGGCCCAGGTCAGCGTTCACCAGGTGCAGACGGCGTCCGGGAGCGGGAAGCGCCACCAGATCATCATAGACATCAAGCAGGATATAGACATGGACGAGATGTCGACGCGGTCGCTGGCGGAGAGCGTGATGGAGACCCTGGGCGCGCGGTCTGCAGCCGTGTACATCGACAATTCGCACGTCCAGGGCGAATCGGATATGGAGTCGCTGACGACTGTCAATGTGATCGTGGCGAACGATCTGAGCCAGACGCTGAGCCCCCGGCGCGAAGAGGCCGAGGAGGAGACGCCGGCGGAGAGTTCTGGGATTCTACCAGGGAACAGGATAGCGGTGGATCGAATTGTGGAGATGACGAACGCGACGTCCAACGAGAATGCGTCGACCAGCTTATCGATAACAACGGCTGCCAGCACTACTGCATCAGGTAAACGATGCGGTAGCTTAATTAACGAGTTATTAATAATTAGCAGTCTCAAAGTTAAAAATCATTTATTCACGTAAGCGACTTGGTAAACGTACGAGCGTCGGTCTAGCGGGTCTCCGGTTCGAAATTAGGGTGGGACGAAATGTTAGTGCAGTGTTTGGATTTTTACTACAAATAGTCCTAGTAGCTTTGATCATCAGTCATCACATGATCGATTTCGGTTATACCACCAATTTAGTGGAAATTAAAAGTCCACCAACCCGCACTGGGACTACGTGGTAGATCTAAGCTTTAAAAGCCTGTCTCCCATGAGTTAAGGCTGGACCCAGTGACAAAGTAATAGTTTTAAATTTAATATTTTTAGTATGTTGATTTAGCTCTGTGTTTGAGCTGTCATAACCTTAATTATACTAAACGAATTTCATACATTAGCACTTCTTGGGTCACTACCAATCGTCATCAATAGTTCAGTCTTCTATAGTAAATTAATAGTCGATTTAACTTAAAACCTGGATATGATACAGGTAGAATATCGAAATTTCGCCAAGGCCACAAGCTCCACAGATGAAAAATCCGCGAGGTATAATCGCGATTCCCTTTCAGCCATTCAGTGGATCAGAGTCATTGGATTTCCGAATATCCAAAGCCACAAAGGTCGACAACGCAACTTGTTATAAAGCGCCCACTTGGCCGTGCCTTTAAAATTGTCTCTATTTACGTCTTTAACATAAATCCTATTTATAAGTATTTATGGGTAAAAATTTATGTTGCAACAAACACATAAACTAAAGATAAAGTAACAATAGCCTTTAGATTTTTGATAAATGCATAAAAAATCCATTCTGATCTCGAACCCATGACTGCAGCGTTTAGTGGTATTGGGTCTACCAATTAAGACTAGAGATCAGTCGTCCTTTCAAGTCGCGCTCGTATAATTTATTTTCTTCAGTAGTAGTAAGAAAGTGATAATTTTATTATTCAAAAAGTTCCAATGTTAATAATAATGCACATTAAAGCTACTATTAATAGCAATAGTATTGATCATTATTATATATAGCCTGTGCCTCTTATAGACTGTATTGTCTGTGATGTGGCTGTGAAAATAGACAGCCTAGTTTGGTGATATTAGATTCAACGCTTATAATATCTCAAACTTTGTTACTCGCTAATAAACGCTTTTGATTTCCTATTCCGCTAATTCGAGTTTTCGTCTTTAAATCGCAATTTTATGACTTGTTAATGCTTGAAATTTTTCGGGACGTACATTTTTTTAATTACATATAAATGAAATTACTAAGTATTGTCTGTAGTTTACGCGAGTACTACACATTTAAATAAAACACTTACGCCTAATTATCGTCTACAAATGAAAAAGCTGTGAAGTTTAGTCGCGTTTCAGTTTCAGTCTGTAGATTTCCGAATGTCCAAAGCCAAAATGTTGAAATGTTTTATGACTAGGGTAATTCCGCCTTCCATCAAACGTACCCCATGCTCCTTCTCTCTCATAAACATATATAATTTAATCTCGTATTAGTGATATCGAATATAAAACTTAGATGGTGCTGGAAACGTATTTTTCAGCTTTGTTCTGCCCCACCGTTTTTACATTATCGACTTTCAGAAAACGCACACCAAGCGACTTTCATTTAGGGAAAATTGAATTTTCCTATTGGCGTTTTTCAATTCTCTAGATGAATTTAAACACGTAATTTACAGATTAAGAAATAAAAAGGCTTTTCTGCGTGGTAAAAAATTACTTTATATGTCTGTCTACTCAAGAACTATGTAGAACGAACGGAAGGTATAAATAGGCAAATTATATAGGCGTATCTAATTAGTATTTATAGGCAAGTAGTACACAAATGCTGTACTGTAGTTTAGTACGCGAGTATTTAAAGACAGTTAATTAAAACACTTTAACGGTTAAAACGCGATATATATTAGTTAAACTTATATGAAAACTATTTTAACCGCGGCCCGACGTTTCGGTTGCTTTGCAGCAGCCGATTAAGGGAAGACGGCTGTTTTATTTTAAGGCAAGAAGTTATTCCGAATTTTGTGCAAAATAAGTATTTTGGGTTGTAATGAGATGCTTTGTATACCCCTAAATGGGGGGATTCCTTCACTAACATTACATAATGGTAAAAGAGAGGTTGGTACTGTATTAGTATTTTTTGTGTGTCCGCCATCTTGAATTGTTCAATTGACAACGATCTAAAACAATAATGATAACCACACCTCTTCTGCATAAGTTGTTATCAACTATGCAACACACACTGAGCGAAGATTTCCGTTGTGAAAAGGTAGTCTTATATCCTAGTAAAACATACTTTAACAAAAACATAAACAACGATGACAAATTTTAGTCAAATAAAACGAAGGAAGGTAGGATATTCGCTGACTTTGTGACATATTTTCTTTAACTCGAAGAAGTCAAATGCTATTTTGTTAATGTGAAAACATTACTTGTAAGCGTAGGAACTGGGTCTATTCCAATGATACAATTCTCACAAAAAGCATTTAAATGAGGCTAGCCGTTTTTAATAAATGTTAGAAAATTATACTTTTAAATAAATCACTTTTAACAGTTTAAAAAGCGAAATCTATTTGTTAACTTATTATGAATTTTAACTACGGCCCGAAATTACGTAGCATCCGAATGCTTTCCAGCTATCGTGGTCACGGGGGGGATATACTGTAAATATTTAGTTAGTTAATTATTGTAGAGTTAAAACCGTTAAACGTGTTTAATTTTAATCGGCCACTACACTACACTACAGACAGTACAAATTTATATTATTTATGTATACTTATATGTAAGCTTATTGCGTATATATAAAATTGTCTGCTGTATATGTGTGTATGTCTGTTTTAATGTTTTATGGTATACTGATAACAAATTGCAGAGTAACGACTGAGTGATATACGTCAATTAAAATGTCAGATGTAGTTATCAAGGCCACTAATTGGAAAATAAGTGCTGCCATCTATTGGCGAGAAGTTGTAAATAGCAACATACGGTACTTTTAGTACTCTGTACTTATTAATGAACCATTGCTAGTAATTAATGGTCGTTCTCTATAAATAAAACACATAATTTAACCTTAATGATTAGAGAATGTGCTAATTCATTATTTCTTGTATAGACAGAAATTTTCAAGAGATGAGACGCTAGATAATTACATTTCCAATTCCAGTTAGTTTAACGTAAAGATATCGTGCTGCAAAACAATTACAATTATCTATTTTATAATATAATATTCCTCTTATAACAATTGTCATTTACAGCTACATACTTTCAATTATATACTTGTGTCTTTTATCAATTGATAATTGAATTAATTGTATAACATATCGTAAAGATGTAATATCCAACGGTAATCGTGTATCTCAATGACAAACAAGCCGATTACAATTAAGTGTTGTTATCTGTAACCCACATTTACTCTGTATGTCGAGAACTAATTTTTACAATCAGTGCCATCTATCGTTGAGTAGCAGCAACCCGTTTTTATGCGGTACCGCTAGTGACACAGTTTCGGGTCAGCTGTTGTGTGTATTTTTATGTGTGCGTTCGGATCCGGGATGTATAGAACTCGTTTTAGCACTCAACTGGTTTCGTGTTGCGGCGCAGTTTGACATTGTTTCGCGAATCTTCAAAATTATTGTTCTCTGTAGCTCACACGAGTATCGCACTTCAATCAGTCACTTTAAACGGTTTAAAACGGGAAATATATTAGGTCACTTAGTTTTATGGACGACTAGAGGTTATGGACGCTTTGCGCCGGCACTGCGACTATAGTTATATGGTACCTTGTAAAAGGGAAACATTTAATGTTATATCTAACAATGTTATTACATCACGTTTAGAAAACCGTAATTTTTTTATTATTAATTACTGTTATAATCTATAATCTGGTATAGTCTAATGGTGGCAATCAACGGTTCGTATGTACGATCCCTAGCGGGTCTAACTTGTTACTAATAAATTTTAAATATTTTTTTCAATGTTTGACTTTATTTGAAAATCTGGATAATTAATGATGTGGTACAAAATAGAGAATCAATAATAAAAAAGAAACAAACAAGTGACAGTGACCAATAAGAAAAACCATCGCAGTTCTATTATGAGAAAAAATTATTTGAAATTATCTTTTTAATTTTCCGACTAATATTGATGTTTTTTTGTTTTACAGGTAAGCTACTGACACTATAGATTATAACAACAGCAGGTAAGTTACTTATAAGTCGAATTTTACTTCGTTCATACTCAGGCAAATTATTTTTAGTATTATAACTACCTTCATATTGTTTATTTTTGTACCTCTTATAATACTATATTTTAATATATTATATAGATAATATAAGTTAAACACTTAGCAACATGGTATCAAATTTCTAGTTTCACTCATAAATCGCTTGATTAAAAACTATTTATATTTAGGGTTCCTTAGAGCGTTGTATAAACCATTAATTTAAATTAAAAAAAAATATGAACAACGGATTAATTTTCATACACTTAATTCTGTATTTATACCATCATGTTCGACATGAAACGATTATTAAATATTTTTGTTTGAAAATCTGGATACTAAACCTATAATAGGTATAACGAAACTTACAAACTACCCTCGTCAGATACAAAAATCGCAAAATACAATCTTACAGTTTCCATCTGTGGATTTCCAAATACCTAAAGCCAACATAGCTCGACACCGCATTTGTTAAGATTTTATGTGGCTAGGGTAATTCTTCCATCACGTGATCGCCATACTTGTCTTGCTCTGTAACAGTAAGAGTCGCGTAGCAGTGCCGTAGACGCACCGTAGCGTCTTGCTTTCCTGAAAATTATACAAACGTAATAAGTAATTCTATATAGCTCAAACTTAAAGCAGTTTTAATACTAATCGTTTGAGTGCATTTTTAATTAACTTATTTAGTTGCGTGTTTAAATGAATTTGCCGTCATACAACGCTAACTGAATTTTTAAGTTTACACATTAGTGTTTATGGAATTGTGGAACGTTGTTCAGCCTTTTTGTTTTTTTAATATCCTTGTCATATAGCCAAGAAAAACTATGCTTTTTTAATGTCATGCATATCTTATTAAAGTAAATATCTCATTTGGTAAATAAGCTAATAATAACTTTGAAATAAAACACTTTAACGATTTAAAACACGATAATTAGTTAAACTTCAAGTCACGGGGAGACAGTCTCCTCGTGACCACGGCTGCTGCAAAGTATCCGAAACGTCGGGCCGAAGTTAGCAATCATTTGTCAAATAAGTATAACTAATACATATCATGTTTTAAAACGTTTAAATGTGTTTTATTTAAATGTGAACTACAGACAGTATCGAATAAAAACTGCTAATTTTAGTTTAATTTTTATCTCACCAACCAAAGAAAACAATTTTTATTGCTATAAACATATCGTTTTTCCTATGAAGATTACTATATGTACTGTATATAGTATAATATCAAAACTTTTTGACCATCTGTGAATTCCTGCTAATATATAAAAACTAGGACTCCCTATAATGTACGAAAAACAAGAACGCAAACAAATGAAAAAAAACAATCGCATCGCGTACTTTCTTGGAATATATGCGGAACCAAATAAAATATTCCTAAAATAGCTCTTTACGCTAAATAGTATGAAACATGATAGCCTAGTCGATGCTAGGCAATTGATTGCAAAATAATTGTTATTTTCACGTAATACGCAAATATGAGAAAGGTTATTGACTTGGTGGTTTTGCAAAATGCAAAAAATCGTTTTTTTTTTAAACGTAGTCAGGCGTTTGACAGCTTATGGGAAGCGGTAATATTATGGTTTGACATCCCAAATTGAGGTTTGAGTACACAGATTGCGGAGAATGTTTTCTTAAATTTCGCTGTCTTTGTCAAAATGACGCAATGTCACTCGTGTGCAGTTTAGCAAAAGTAGTTCTATTTTTCTGATGACCTTGATGTTCCAGTTTTTGGCTGAAAGGGGAAGAGCGGGTAATGTAATATAAAAAAAAATGCGGTAGATTTTCTTTAATATTCGACTTATTCGCTCTTTGAAGAAACAATCGATTAACAATGTTTGCAGTCTTTGCGTAAAAAAATTCAAAAATATCATCTATAGTTTATACTACAAACGTATATAAATACTAACATTTGAAGGCTTTCACGTTTAAATAAAAGAACATTTCAAACCTCGAAATTATTGTTTAAATTATTTCTAACTACGTCACGTGGTTACGCGTTTCGAACCGTTAACAGTGTTTTATATGAATGTGAACTACTCGCATATACAACGGACCATACTTTAATGTTCTTGGACTTTTTTCTTAGTCTTCTTCATGTCGAAAACTTTACAATATTAGCCCAAGAGTCCGACATCCAAAGGCAGTAAACACACTGACCCAATTTCAGTTGATATCATATCTCGCTATCTCTAGGTATCGGTGAATGAACGATAAGAGCGTATGTAAAAAACTGTGCGCTATCTATTGGCATATATTACTTTATCGTGTTTTGTTTTTAAACTCGACGATTTGATAACAATTAGATTTTCATCCTCCAGACATTGTTTTCGTGAAACAAAATTTATCGGGTGGAAATTCGATTTATTCGTTACACTATTTAGACACGAAAAGTTACTTTCTATGTATTCAAAGACCTCGCTAATTGTAATGAAAAATGTTTGAAGCTCAATGGTTGAGTGTAACCTCAAGCTACGTCCTAAATTCGAAAGACCTAAAGAAGGTATCTTATGCACCGTTAGGTAGGGGTTCGAATCTTGAAAAAAATATTTAGTTATGGATAATTTTGGGCAGTAAAACTAAAAAAACACTTTCAACAGTTTAAAACGCGAAATATTAGTTAACTTATTCACCATTTCGTTGAACTACGGCTGGATGTTTCGCAGCCCTGGTGAACTGAAGGTGGAGGGTTTTGCTAAAATATTTCACGTTTTAACGAAAAGTGTTTTATTTAAATATATACCACTTGCGTAAACTACAAATAAGTTTTAATATTTTTCCATATTTTTGCTTAATTATTTCAATTTTGACAAAAGCGGGACTTGAGCCATTTCTTTTTCGATATAATAATCGTATTTTTACTATTAAAATTTAAAATAAATAGCGACAGTCATACAAGTTTATAAGAAATATATCACTGACCTAGAACAAATGTAATTTCTTGAGGAAAACCGCTAAATATGACGAAGTATAGAAAAATTCGACATTTCTACGTTTTAATTTTTAACTAGTATTTCTTACTAAACGTCTATACATTTTTATTTTAGATAACTTTTAAAAATAGATTCCACTGGTGCTGTTCTGTTATGAAGAAAACTCAACCTAAGTACGTTTTTGGAAAACATTAACAAAATTTTGCCGTGTCGGTAATACGGGTCGTACGTTAAATTACGACCAATCGTCTACAGATGTAGTCGTAAAGATTTATCGCGTTTCTATATCAGTCTGTGGATTTCCGAATATCCAAAGCCGAAATAGGGTCGACTGCACATTTTGTTTTGATGTAATATGGCTGGAGTATTCCACTGTCTGTAGTTTACGCGAGTGTGTACTACTCAATTAAACAGTTTAACGGTTTAGAACGCGATATATTTTAGTTCTAATTCTATCGCGTTTTAAACCGTTAAAGTGTTTTACTTAAATATTTCACTTACCATCAAGTAAACCACATGCTTGTTCTTACTTTGATCATATTCTATTAAAATCTGTTCAGTAATGTTAGCGTGGTAACAAAATGTCTTTGCAGGAATAAATGTTTTTTTTAATTGAAATTTTATATATATAGTTTTGTTTTAATATTATTTTCAGTAATGATTATTTAAATGTTTGTATGTAAAAATTAATGTAACTGTTTAAACTGAATACTGATCTTATTGTGCCAATCTGGTTTTCATGTTTTTAGAGGAGTCTCTTTCAAAACCACCCCTAACCCTCCACTGACCAGTCAACCCGGTTCGTGCTCAATGGACTTTGCGTGTCCTGTCATTTGGGGACGCACAAAGGGTTAAAATTTGCGAGAAATCATCGGAGGGTTATCTTTTTTTTAAACGTCGTATCCAAAAAGGTCAACATGGGTGCTAAAGTATAAAAACACGGGATATTTTTTTCGTAAATAGACGAAAAAAATCATGCTGATAATTTGGACATATTATACATAAAAAAAAAACTGTAATGAACTAGTTTTTACTAGTTTTAATTAGTTAATTGTAATGTAGGTATTTATAAGTTTATAAAGAAATTAGTGAACCTTTTCTTATTGTGTTTTCTTACCTAATTTAACATCTATGCAGTTTTTGGGACCAATTTTCTCTGTATACCCGCGTCATTCCAAGTAGGTTTTATATAACATTTTTACCGGTTTAAAACGTGAAATATTGATTAACTTATTTAGAATTTATTTTAACTATATTTCGAAGGTGACTTATAATAACGCGTTTTAAACCATTGAAAATGTTTTAAAACGCGTGAACTACTGATACATATATTTTTATTTACCCTTCATCGTTATAATAGTTGTAGATGCTTTAATAGCTTCGCGAAATCTTAATTGTTTGAAGGTGATTGCTTGGGTTAAATTGGCGCTATGACAATTTGGCTGGATGATTGATGATCCTGTCAGGTATCACCACCTGTTAAAAAAAAGTAAAAGTAAATCTTTCGACGTTATATCGTGTTTCGTTTGCTAGAACTCTTCAAATTACTGCCTTTGGCCAGTACCTTCACTGGTCCTGCCTTGTAAACTTGTCGGCCACTCGCCTGCGCTTACAAAATTCAGTTTGTTCTGCAGAACGCGCGCGCGCGGCCGCCCCGCGCCGAAATTCAAATTTGGAACTCGAATTTGACAACTTTGACATTTGTGCCGTAACTTTTTTATTTTTTTTTTGCAAGTGGGCAGTGTTTCTGGACTCTGTGTTACAATCGGATTGTACCAAATGCATTGTGTCGGATGTGAGTAATAGTATTAAGATTGTTCGTCCGTCTATCTCAGTTTTGCAACTGTGAGAATGTTTTATAATTATTCTTAACGAGTATTAAAATAGCCGTAATAAAAATAAACCAAGTATCAATATTTTTATTGACGCTATAATGTTTCATGCGACTTAAGGCTACGCGCTGAATGGATTTTTATTTTTGAAGCTTGAATAATAATTACCCGTATATCAATTATTTTATCTATCACGAAACTTGCAATTCACCAAGGTCTCGTGTTGCATGAGATGTATTGCATAGTGTGGGAGCGAGATGGCGGTAGCCGCGACCTTGTGTGGGTAAGAGAGGTCCGACGTTGGGAAATTATTGGGAAATAATTTTTCTCTTTCGGCGCCGAAGGGCATTTTTTGCCATGTTTTCGGTGATTTTTTTCTATTTACCCTATTATTGGGTTAAGGTTGAAGAGATTTACTTATTTACCATCTATATTGACTTAATAATAGATAACGGCGTAATTTTTACACACACCGCCTTAACGAGTTCGTTAGAACTTTTTCGTATATAATACATACTTCATACTATTATTTTTTACTTATTAACCTCTGAATTTTAAATATATACGTTTAACGTATTCATTTATTCGTTCATTTCTCTATTTTTCTTCGTTTCCAGGAGACTTTATGTTATATATATATATAATAATAATACAGCGATTATTAAACAAAGGCATTTGATGGTAATTTTCATAGAATGTAATTCTAGAACTTCTACACTCGTAATTAAGTACCGTTATATTATATTAGAATTTCGGAATTAATAAAAATTACTAAAGTGTATCGCTACACCATTATTTTAAATTAGTTTAACTTCACAATACGAAATAACGTAGCCTTCATTATTTCGAAACTTTTTAAAGTTACGTAAACGAGTCATTGTGTTTTGGGTGAAAATTTTTCGTTATAAATTATAATTGTATTAAGGTTTTATTAAAATTTATAACTATAATTTTGACTTTAACTTACTTAATTTGTAAAATGTACCTGAACGTTTATTCTGAGATATATTAATGTATATATTTTTATTAGTTTCAACATACATGAAAATTAATCTAAGTTTTCTATGTGCTTTATTCTATTATTTATTCTCTCAGTATAGTCTGTGTTGAAAACTAAAGGTACGTAAGTATTTAAAAAGAAAGCCGTTAGTTCGAAATAGGAAAAAGCCGCGCTTTTACAAAGGCCACGAACAATGCGCAAAAAAAGAGAAACTTAAAAAAAAAATCAAACGTCAATCGGCGTCAATACCCAAAAGGCTCACATCCGCCTTTTGCTTTTAGCATATCTCGTATAATGTGTAATAATAATTATGGCATCGATCAAAAAGGCTCTCTCCGACTTTCACACAAGATTTTTGGCTGTTGCAACTTTCACTAAGGCCGGCGGCTCAAGCTACGAGAGTTTGCGTTTTATGAAACATTTAATAATTTTAAACCAAATTTTTAAGAATTCGTTCTTTTTATTTAAAAGTAATAAATGTAACAGTCACTTACACGTACTATCAAAAATTCGTATCACACTGTGGTAATTTGAATTTAGATTTCTCTAAATTATATTCTTCTAGTTTAAAAACCACATCTAAAGTTATTTCATCTATTTCTTTCTATTATTTAAAGCGTCTTTTCTTTCTTTATTTACAAAATTTAAGCTAACAAATTGCAGAGGTATGGAAACGCTAAACATTTAAAACTCGCTTAAGCCTCCGCTTCCGCTTATACGCTGGACCATAGCCACGAAATCTCTTGTATGTGTGAGTGAGCGGCTCGCAACGTAATATTGCGTAATGCAGCGCCCGCACGCACTGCAGAATGCTGATTTGTCAAACTATTTATATACTAGCGGTACATGCGGCGTTGCCTGTAGAGATATTTCATAGATAAAGAAATGGGTCATTCGTTCAACTAGAACGTCGTGATAAAAGGAATAACGGTTGCTTTAATTATTATACTGTCTCTCAATCGATCGTTCAAGTGTTTAATTTGGATGGTGGCCTTTTTCAAATTTCAAGGTCACTGATGTTATTTCTCTATAGATGATTTAATCTTTTCTCATACGTACTTACCGAATACGTATACAAAAGACAGAAAGTTTCTCGTTAAACATAATTAACGAAAGTTTTTGACATTCCCATACTTTTATCTCAAATATCATAATACGAACGAATATAGATTCGTCAATCTTAAAAATGCATAAATAAAAAATATGTATCTACAGACTTGAATTAATTTATTTAACTCCTTAAACGACTACAGCGTTTCGTCTTGTTACATGTGTTGTCTAACATAGTCACTATAGTTACATTAAATTTTAAAATTAATAATTACCGGATTTTAATTATTTTAATAATCATTGCTGATTGAATATAGTTCTAGATACAAATATAGCCTTGCATCTAACAAGGAAAAAAGAAAGACTCTCACTACTAAACGTAAAGAGGTTTTAATTAAAACCGGGCGCAAGAGTTGAAATCTAGTAATTAAAACATCCCGCTAACAACCTTGAATATACGTCCTGTGTACACAACCTGTGACACATTTTCCAGACACAGAATAATTTAAGGGTTCTGGTTTTTACAAGGAATAATACTAAATTATTAAATTAGAACAAAAAGCTGATATAATCTGTAGAAAAATTCGATATCTGTATATAAAGTAGTGAAGGCACGAAAAAGGTTATCTGTGGATAATAATAGAGTCGCAACAGTGTTGTCTAATTGGTTAGGGTTTTTAATGTTTTACGTGTTGAATTAATTGCGCCATTCGGTATATGTTTCCAGCCAGTTCTAGAAGCATGTAAAGCGAATTCGACAAATTTGTATGTGGTTTTCGTATATAGAAAACCGTTTCTAAATTTAAAATTTCGAATGACAGAGCACACTTGAAGCAGATACAATATTCAATAATCAAACAATGGAAGCGGCTGACAAAACACCTAGTTAGATACAGCCTAGCAACTAAAGTACCTAGGGAACATCAAAGTGAATGACATAATAGAGCCGTGTTCATAGCTATACGTATACTGCACCAAGTCCATACACAGCGAGAAAGAAAAGTGCCGTTTAGTTTGTACCGACCACGAGGATCGATGCGGCGCAGGCGCGCTGCGACGCCGCCCCAACCCCCCGGCCCCCACTCGTGCTGAAATGCATCGCGGCTGCACTCAGTGCATGTGAGAACGCCTCTGGAAAATCCAACACCAAAAAAATCCAGCGAAAATCGATAATGTGCTACATTTGTGACGCCTCTTAACTCCGTAACGACGTCGGAATCGCAAGCATCAAACGAACTATGAAGAAGAAAAAACGAACCGCGATTAAAACAGATATAAAAAAAATAAACCACAAACCGCACCTAGACAATATTTAACACGTTCATTCGCTAAATATTCCGATGAATTTATACTCGACATTTATAATAATCACGAGAAAAATAGCTAATACTCCACTGAATAGTTCACGTTATCTTCCCAAGCAAAACCTTATTAAACGAAAATTCTAGACTGATATTTAAATCCGAATAACGTAGTAAATTTAAACAAAAAATAGTATTTACATTAGTTGACGATTTGAGAAAGTTTATATAGAAATGTATTTATAAATAATATAGTGATAAAACGCAATAATTACAAATCTAAAACCGGGGATCAGTGCATAGCCTTAAGTTTTATACAGGACGAACAATTTTGAGACTTGCCCGTTTTCAGTGTACCAAAATGGATGAGCGGTTCCTTGTGTAATGGATAAATTGTGATTGTGTCGGTCCGGTGGGCCCATTATGTTGAATATGTTCGACATGTGGAACTCGGTGAGCACTAAGCTGGAGGCACAGAGTAACGTGCAGCAGAACCAGCAGCCGCACACTTCAGGTGGGAGCATTAAAGGTAATTTTCATATTCACTATCGATTCGGCGTCGAACACTGGACTATAAGTGCACAACGTGAGCCGAGCGCGGAATTCCATTTTCGAAATTGACTATACTAAAATACGACCGGATTCGACGTCGACCACCTGAAACTCCGATTACCTACCACAAGCCCAGGATTCGACGTCGAATCAAAGACAAAAATGACAGAAAAATGACTGGCCACCTCCACCTGTTTTTCCCCGACGTTTTTCCACACCTCCTCGGACGTGACAAGGACTTAGAAGACCAGAACACAAGAAGTACCACAGATAATGCCCAGATTGAAAACTGTCTCGTGACAAAAGTGTCGTTCCATATTTAAATGGAAGTGAAACGCTTTGACATTTCACTAAACGAAGCCGCCTCGAATTCCATTTTCAAACCTCATGACTTATTCCCTTTCCGGTGCAGTCTGAAAGAATTCATCCATTTTAAAAAACCTTTCGACTTTGTACCGAAAGAACCTTTCTCGTCTTTGAACGTCGTGATAAGCGATTCATTTGTTATAATTACTTCACTCACGTAGCCCTGGCGAAAAATAAAAGAAAGCTTTTAAAATGGCATGAAACTTAACATTATAGCTTTACGAAAACTGCGTATTCAAAAGTTACAGACAAATACTTCAATTTTAAGGTTTCATATTAATTTTAACGAATTTTTAATAATTCACTATATAATACGATGGAAAGTAGCATATTATAAGAGGGTAGATGGTAATATTATTAAAAGTACACCGTTTGTTCGAAAATTGCACGTAAAATTCAAAAGGTTGTTCTGAAATTTAACTAACATCGCTATTATAGATCGATACATACACTAAAGCGGCTTAACTTTCCAAATATTAACCAAACTATAGTTATTGACCAAAACCACGGGATGGCGTGGGCGAAATCACATAAAAATCTCATCTAGAAAGTTCCGAATCGCGTTTCCGGTGTATTAATACATAATTGTTTCTTATTTTATTGCGTAAGAAAGAAAGTGGCCAATTAAAATTCGGTAACGCCATCTTTCGTATGCTTGCGTAATGCGGACTTTTCACATTTGGTATTTTTAGTTAGGCCTCGGTGGCGTGACTGTTTGTAAGTATATGACAGTTTTAAATATTAATAGGTCCCACCGCTGGGACTAGGGCCACTATAGAGGCCTTAACCTATCACGCTTGCCTAATTTTTGATCGAATATGCGTATAAGATTGGAAATTTTGACTAATATCCAATGTCAAAATAGGTCGAGAGGATATCTCGTTGAGATGTTTAAGGCTGGGGGTTTGTAGCTAGTAAAAATATGAACTAAGTTAACGAAATTTACATGTCTCAAGACGTTGATATCAAAACTTTAAATGTTGGTTTAAAATTTGATTCAAGAAAGTTATTTTTCTATTATAATTTTCTATAGAAATAAAAATTCGCTTATCATTGTTTGTAGTTTTCGCAAGTAGTTCAAATTGAATTAAAACACTTTTAACGGTTTAAAACTCGAAACGACGTATCCAATGCTTTACAGCGGCCGAAGTCATGGGAGGACGACGGATTTTATATAGTTTCAAGCGATATTGTCCAAAAAATGCAATTTCATAAATCGTTACTGAAAACATATGTCCAATGATAAAACATTACTCGCTTTTCACACATCGAGTAGCGTAACCTACTTCCACAAGACGGCGCGACTGTGCAAATAAAAAAAAAGATTTTTTTCAAAATGAAACATTACTGTAACGATGTAATCGTATTACCGTAACGGAATTATCTGTCGTTAGCTGGTCGTTGACATGTCAGCTCGCTTTATAACTGACTGTGGAAAAATTTCAGAGGACCGACGCTGCGTGTTACCAACGCTGCCTTACATAAGCAAGAAATAATTATTCAAATAAAACACTTTATCAGTTTAAAACGCGACATATATTAGTTGCTATTATTTGAAAATTATCTCCCCGCGACCACGGCTGCTGCAAAGCATCCGGTAGTCGGGCGCGTTTGAAACCGTTAAACTGTTTTATTTAAATGTGTATTACTCACCTAAACTGCAGACAGTATTTAAGAAATAATTATAATATAATAGCTGTGTCAGCGACTTTGTCCACGTAGAATAGTTTTTTTGGTTTCAAAATTTGTTTTTGCAAATCTTTATAAGTTTAAGCTGTTTTCCACGACGTCGGTCGCGTTCCGTCGTTGTAAGTTTAACCTCAAGATAGACATATAGTGTTGCGGACATTTTTTTAAATCTTTTAAAGAGCCGTCTTACATATTTTTTGGGAATCTCGAACACGGAATTATACACACATGTATATCATTACATACAGCTATCGAATAAATGTTAACGACCAGTAAATTTTCCAAAAAAACATTCCATATGAAAGTACGATACTTTAATTGCTTTCCAATACATTTTAAAAGTGTATAATATTTACAAAATCGGCTTTCGGTCGTTAAACTTTTACAAAGAATTAATTGGCGCGTTTAAAACTTTCACAGAGTATATTTAAAGGACGACGAATGCCATTTAAACATAAGAAAGCAAATACGAACTGGTTTACGCGTTACGTAACACAATACAGTGTGTTACTCTACCCCAGCCGGGCTGGTATGCGCGACATACCTCGGAGGCAGTTGAGTCTTCGGGCCAAAATATTTATGACATGTGTTTTAGATAAATTCTATTAAGAACCTCTTTATTGAATTTATTGTGTCCGCGACAATGTCCGCGTCCCGTCGATCTTGTGAGTTATTTTTAAAAGATAGACTAATAATGTCGCCATTTTTCTAGATCATGTACAGAAGAATATTCTTCCATACGTAGTGTTTGGTTTCTTAAACCGTTTTCTCAGCGCACGTAACTGAAGGCCCCCGAATATGATTAATTTTCCCAATTTTTGTCCGCATTTTCCTCTCTTTCTTCGCTCGTATTGGTTTGATGTTTTAATAATAATTTTTCATTCCGAACCAGTAGTTCCTGAGATTAGCGCGTTCAAACCAACAAACTCTTCAGCTGTATATATTAGTATAGTTTGTTGGAGCTAGAATAATTTGTAGGTATAAATAAACTAATATAAGCAAACGTGTTTATTGCGAAATGGATATAAATTATATAATCGTTGTATCGCTAAAATGCAATACGTGTCCAATTTATAATATGGTCGTACTATTTATTTGCAATTATATTTGAAAAAGCTGTAGTTAATAGTTCCATTTAGTACAAAGAGATGGCGTGTTCTACAATACTAATAATAAAATACTTACGGGACGAGGAGAGGAATAAAATCCACTTTTCTATTTGCAGAGCCTTTCTTTCAGTGGTCGCGAGCTAACAAAAGCACTAACCCCGCTTACAATTAAAAGTACCAGGAACGCATGTTCTTAGAAGAGCTCTAACCTAAATTAAGAGCCGGCTATCTTATACAACTAGGATGTAAACCGTGCTAACATTTCACGATATCTACTAGTTTAACACTACATATGGGATAGTTTTGGGTTTGTTGGGTTACGTTTGCCGAAACGGCTACACAATTTTGGATGGAATTATAAAAGAAGCAAGTCATTTTCACACGTTTGTAGATACAAATTCAAATAAAACATTTTTAAACTTTAACTACGACCCTAACGACGGCTCATCATCGAATATATTTCGCGAATTAAACCGTTAAATGTGTTTTATTTAAATTTTTCCCACCCAAATTTCAAGGTCATTTCTACATATGTATCTGTAAAACACATTATATGACTTAGTCGATTGTTTCTTGACCTTGAGTCTAGGATATCTATGCAAAGTTGTACTAAAATTTGTGCTTCCATTTCTCAATCTGTGAGTCTTATTTGAGCTTTGTACGGCGTTTCTAAACGCGCTTAGAGAGTACAAAGGATTATATTTTCAACTACTCGTTGTTTCTTTGAAATGCTTAAAAATCTAACGCTAACTAACACAAGACTACTAGGATAGCATGAGCATGTGACAGCTCGCACTCAGTCCAAACGCAAGAAAAAGTTGCCTGGCCAAGACCCATTTAGTTGGTACTTCGATGCGCGCTCGCCTCGTCTTGGTACTTTGCAACCTTCGCAGTTTATTGACATCTGTTTACTGCCGTTTTAGATATTTTTAAGGCTCCTCGCTTTGGTATTAAAACTTTTTGAGCTGTTAAATCAAGCTGGCAGTTTCACTTTAAATTAAAAACAAATCATTCTATTGGAAATCCTTCGTCTTATATTGAGAAAAAATCACGTAATATTAAGTATTGTACAGTTAAGGACGCAATACTTAATAATTTTTAAATTACTACCCGTTGTTTTGGGTACTATTCGGAATACATATTTACGTTAATCAAATAATACATTTTACGTTTTAAACTGTTTTATTAAAGAAAGTAAAATTGCATGAGTTATAATTTAACCCACATTATACTAAATTCCTTCCACGTTCATAAGTGCACAAATTCGTCTAAACTTTAACCTCAATAAATTAAAAATTTAGATATAATATGTAATAACGTACTTTTATTTTTAAATCAAATTCATTAAAAAATATTATTTATTGGTAATAATAACTTACGAATTAAAAAGAAAAAAAACCACTAAATCACTACTAGGTCTCAATACAACTGCGACGAAGAAGTTTAATTATTACTTAACCACGATCAAACATAATCTTTGACATTTTTACTAATATTATGAACGAGTAAATATTTGCGAAACCAAGTATCAAGTTATAAAATCGCAGTACACACATGTATCTATGCATGCAAGTAACATGCGCCGGTACCTACAGTAGTGACTGATAATATGATAATATTAGCCTAGGTTGTGTGTGTGTGCAATATAGGTTCGCTTAGTACCGGCTTACCACTGGTTCATATCACTAGAACGGTTGGGACTGTCTGGGATAGCTAAGACTCTTCCAAGTCTTGGGTTTTAAATCATGTCTTTGTATGAAATTAATTAATATTGTTAGATTGGGTATCCGGGTGGGTTATAATTGCTA